CGTTTCGTGAACCTTGCAGTTCACTTCATCAGGGCGAGGAGCAGCCTGATACTAAGCTGTTCCCCCGGGTCGTTCCTTTTATATTACGCTGCTTGTGTGCCAAGAATGGATCTGAACACGGAGAAAACCCGCGAAACGCAAGATTGTCACATAGGTAACACCCGTGAAAGCCTCAAGAATATTAATAGTAGTTGTGTTAAATTTATAATATTACATCGTTTTACATGTTTGTGATTTCCTAAATAAGTTTTATTTGAATTTTCTTGTCATATTTTTTTCCAAGGCACGCTGAAAGACATTGCGTATTTAATAAAGAGACTTTTACAAAAAGAAAACTGAGCGCTTTACATATTAGACGCATTATAGACGTCTTACAGAACAGCATAAAATATGTTCATAAATCAACAAAAAATTAATTTATATCAAAGTAAAAAGGTTCTAAAGAAACTTTTACATGCACATTTATTTATAGGTATTTTGTACAAATGACTTGTATAAAAGAAAACAGAACAGGAATACGTGGCATTATTGTCTAACGTGTCAGTTTCGGAATCCATTTTGTTAAACTCTTTTTGCTTACGTTAACAAAAAGTTAATTATTGCATAATTGCAAACAGAATTATATAAATCTCTATGTTAGAAGATCTTTGATAGATAATACTTTATATATCAAGTTTTATTTCTGATTTCCATTTAAGAAACATTGTCCAAAAACGAAGTGTTATATCGATATCGCTACATATCTCTACTTGAAACATATAAAAAATCCTTACATAATTAAAAAATTAATTATTAAGAATAAATAAATATTAAATATAACAATATCATAAAATTGTATTACAACAGGTTACATTTGGATCAATTCATCAATAACGTTTGTATTTATACTTTTTTGCAGCGAAGTAAAATTAACGATACTGAAGGTCATCCATTATACGCACGTTGATATGCATGCTGCTCTTCGTGAAATTAATTTTGGAGAATTTACAGACTTTGTGAAATCATTTACTCAACATTTATATATTCAGTGTCTCATACAAAGCAACATAACGGAACTTGATGTAATCAAGAATGTAGGGCAATTTCTTAAAAATATTAAATGCCGTCCCTTGATCAATAATGCGTTCCAACAAATGAGAGTGACTCGGATACCCTTGGGTACAAACTATTGCAAGTTAAAAATTATCGATAAATCTAATTCATCTAATTCAAAATCGGTAGTGACAAATTATTATCAAGCTGATGTCACGTCGTTTAAATTATCGATGTTAATCGAACTGATGATCGTTAGTAATATATAACACATTGTTTGGCATTTTTTTAAATATAATTAATCACTGATTTACGTTCATATTTAAAATAGAATAAAATATACGAATAACTTTGATTATCTTCATTGATTTTATCTTCTTTGCAGTACATAATGCAACAATCGTTATTTTTTGGGCCTGACGAAGAGTTTGAATACGTTTTATACAACAATGAAAATGTCAATGGGATTTTAGGATATTACATTACCGTTTGTACTCGGACAGATAAATACTCAACCGAGTACATAGATCAAAGTATAGAAAAATGTCTCACATCGTTTAAGGAGATTTTGGAGAAATTATCGGAAGAAGACTTTGATAATTATAAGGAAAGCATAAAGAAAGCATGGCATACATGCGATGTTAAACACGAAGTTGACAGAAACTGGAACGAAATCACGAAGTTCGAATACATGTTTGATAGATTCGAGAAGAAAAAGCTCGCACTAGAGGACCTAAAAGTCGATGAGTTAAGAAAATGTTTTGAAGAGCACACACCAAACGGAGACAGTTTTAGAAAATTGAGTATACATATGGCAGGTACTGCTCCGAAGAAAGAAGAAGTCAACGAAGCAAATTGTGAGTAGATAATTTTTTTCATGTCTTGATAGAATTTTATCGATTTCTATTTATTATCTTATTTTGTGACATTATATTTCCCTTCGTTTTTTTGTTTTCGTTATGTTTAAAATTGTTAAGACAATTTAAATTTCAATGATTGTGGGTTATAGATAGCGCAAAGGATAACGAGAAAATGCAGCACTTTGCTTTGAGTTACATGATCGACGATGAGCAGTATCGGAACGTGGAAGATTACAAGAAAAAACTTTACATCTATCCAATGAACGAGGGATCCTCTCAAAGCGCTAAATAACCTATACAGCACAGAAAGATTGCAGAAATGTTGCAGCAATATTTTTTTGCATTGTAAAATATTGCTATAATATTGCTACCACTTTGTTGCAACATTGCAACAACGGTATAATGTTACCATTAGAAATATTGCGATGCAATATTGCAGCAATATTACAATATAATACATTAAACAATACTTTGTAGTGGTGTAATAATTGATATCTTTCATTCATACGAATAATTTGTGGAACATATACAAATGCTAAACATTGCAAAAATACTTACATAAATAAATAAATAAATTTGCAATGCGTCATTGTAATAATGCATATTATATTCTAATACGTACTATATAGAATATATATATTATATACTATATAGAATATATATATTATATTATAAAAAATATGTACTATATATACTGTATTATTAACAACGCAATTACGAATTTATGTTATTTCTTCATTTTTGACATTTGTATATAATTCTACAGATTAGTCATGGTTTAAATACCGTACATTTAATTTTTAGAGTGCCTTATAATTATATTGAAAATTTTAATATTAAAACTTACAGTTAGTGACTAGATGCATGCATCAGTACTACAACCGCTCACTGATCGCTCAGTGAGCTCTGATTGGCATATTCCATTAGAATAAAGGTATAGACCAAAGAGGTACAAGAACTCACGAAGCGCTCATTGAGCGATCGTGGTATTAGGTGCATCCAGAAGCGCTCAGCGAGCTCTTGTACCTGTTTGGTCTATGTTTTTAGATGTAATGGAATATGTCAAGCAGATGTAAGAGCTCTGAGCGCTTAGTGAGCGGTCATACTTCTGGATGCATTCACTGAATGCACCCGTTAGAACAATATCATAAGTTAAATTTGATAACTTAATTTGTATTTTAGTTTAAAAAGTTTTTTTAATTATAGAGAAATACTTATTATGAATCATTTTTAAATAAATAATTTTTATTTTTAAAGTAATCTTACGCGTAAAAGGACATTTTAGAACAAGTAACTAATACGTAGTAATTATAAACGTATATACATTTCTAAATTTTTTACAAAATACTCTTATATACGTAACGTACGTAAATTGCATCATATTAAAAAAAATATATATAAAAATAAAATTTAATAAATCCTCTATTTCGAACATACCATTATATATATTAATGCTACATAATATTATAATGCGAACCTAATATTATATATATTAATAATTATAAAATTGATAATATAACAATAGAATTGACAATTTTACATGTAACACAAGCCTTGTATTACATTTAACATCACTGCGTGTTTGTACAGAAAAAATTGATTGATACTTAATAAAATTTGACAGTTTATAGAATGTATATGCGTACACAAGTATTACCATAAAAATTGGTTCAAGTGACTATAATTTTATAGTTATATTTTGGGACAACCATTTCAACTATTTTATGGTTATAACAACTATAATTATAGTCATTTTAGGTTGCCAATTATATACATTTGTTGCTGGAACTATATATATAGTAACTGTTATTATTATTATAGCAGTAATAATCATAGTTATAGTAATATATAATTATAGTTACAAATACCAAACATTTTTCTTTCTGTGTGTAATCGCCTTATAATAATAATTCTTTCATATCTTACATGCATAATTTAATACCAAAATCCTCACGTATGACAATACATTGAGGTTCTTTAATTAGCTTTTCATTCCAACCCTTCATATTTGTTGCCACTATTTTTTTCCTTTTTATAGTTATGCATACCTATTATTATAATGCTTAATAGGAACTAATCATTAGGAACACTTTGCACATTGCAGCATGGAATATTTATTAAACTGAGAAAGAACATATATTAAGTTTCAATATATAACAAATTAGTAAAATAAAATTGAACTACACTTTGAAGAGTCGACGTAGTTGAAATGTGAAATAATTTTTTTTTATTATATATTTAATATATATTTTTTATATTTTATATTTTTCTTTCTATTATATATCTTTAAATTTTATATTTTTTTTCTATTATACATTTAAAAAATGGAACGCGTACTTTTCGACCTAAACCTTAATTTGGTTTAGGTATTATTCAGTGACGAAAATTGATACTTGGTACATTTTGCTTCGTGCGATTCACTCTTTTATTCAAGACAGTAAAATAATCGTCTTTTTTTTCTTGTATCCACCACTGCTCTCTATAATTATATTTTATTTTATTTTATTCTATTTCATTCACTTCCATTCTGTTTCGATTAGAGTTCATATTTACCACGGAAGATAGATATGTGCATGTGACCTCCTAGTTCTACATCCGTATTTTAGAAACGTAGATGGCGTTTCACCACGAAAAACGCGAGCAGTTTTCTTCTCTTTCCGATTTTGACACGTCGCCATTTTTTGTGTTGATCAGTGTTGACGTTATTGACGTTTATCTAGCGTGAGTTTGGAAAATTGTGTCTCATTCCAGTCAACGATGGACGAAGCAGCGTCAAGTTCGTCGTCCTCGCAGTCCGCGAAATATGAGGAAATGCTGAAACGACTCAAAAAACTCCACACCAAGAGGGTGAGAGAAGTTTACATTAGAACGTAAATATAACCTGTCCGAGACATTCTACTCATTCTGGCGTTTTAAACTGCTTATTTCTTCCTTTTATGTACATGAATAATACTGTTTTTTTTTTTTAAGTAATTAAGCATACTTGTTATTGGAATTTATCGTCGCGATTTGTCTATAATGTATTGATTTAAAATTAAATTTAGAATGAGGCCAGAATGCAGAACCACAAGGAAGTCGTGGAGGAGGATAAGAGGAACAAGCTGCCTACCAATTGGGAATCCCGCAAGAGACAGGCAGAATGGATAATGCAGGACGAAGCTGCCAGAAAAGAGGCAGAAGCTAAGGTATGATTAATCAGATTTTTCATTTTTGATAAATTATATAAAATTATTTACCTGTTTAACTTATTCTTCAGGGTGAAGACTACGAACGAAAAAAATTGTTGAATATTGATGCCACTGAAGCAGAAAGAATAGCTAGGAAGAAGAAAAGTAAACAGAATCCCGACCCAGGTTTCTCAGATTATGAACAAGCAGCGATACGTTCTTACAATAGACTAGTGAAAAACATTAAACCGAATATGGACACATACGAAGAAGCAAAGGAAAAATTAGGCCCTGCTTTTTATGGCGATCCAAATACAATATTACACGGTTTACACGAAGACAAGAAGAAAGCGATAGATAAAATGGTCACCAATCTAGAGAAGCAGTAAGTAACATTTACAGGCCTGTAATTAAATTGTATAATCTTTAATAAGACTCGAATTTGATAAACTTATCTTTTTTTTTGCAGGATCGCAAAACGGGAGAAATACAGCAGGCGTAGAATGCACAATGATGACGCGGATATTGATTATATCAATGAACGTAACGCCAGGTTCAATCAGAAACTGGAGAGATTCTACGGCGAGTATACTCGGGAAACGAAATTAAACTTGGAGAGGGGTACGGCTATATAATGAGAAAACGTTGGTGTAATTATCACAAATACTTGTATTTTATGTAATATACGATGACTTTTTATATAAATAAGAATCTGGAGAAAAGAATTTTACAATGTTTAATCGAATGTACCTTTTGTTGCTCTTATTGGCAATGCATCTATAATTATTCTGCGATACACGAAATTCTAAAGATGCGTAGAAATTGCTTCGAGAAGAGACATAAATCGCCAAAAAAACGGGATAAACTATTTAACAATTCTAATAACTCGTAATGTATACTAATCATAAATAAAAAATTAAGTTAAATTATTACATTAGTCACCATATGTATTCTATTACAATCGCTTAGCTCCTACAAAATTTATTTAATTTAATTTTTTATACGTATGTACAGTTTTTTATAAACTTCTAATTCAGTTCGCATCATACCACCCAACTGTGTACTATATCTGAAAAAATAATACGTCGCGATTATTTTTGCAGATAGTGTAAATAACTATTACATTTGTGAAATATTAATATCGTTTGAATGGAAGTATCAATATGAAATACTTACGCCGTGGCGAAAAGTTATGGTGATGGGTTACTCGTATATGAATATCTTGCGTCTCCCCTGAAAATGTCAAACTATAAACATTGTTGCAAAATTAAGTAAAATAACATTATATGTAATAATATTACGTATAATTTACTATGCATAAATTCCTTCCCTTACCTCAAGTTAGATTTAAAGATGTATTTCGCCGAAAAATATATGTATCAATGCTGTATCAATGATGTTAATAGCTTAGAAACATATAAAAAAGTATAGCTTGAAACGTTAATTTATATAAATAAGTGCGATCAAAATCAGCAAATGCACACACATATCTTAAACAAACAAACGAGAACAGAGTCGCAAGCTCTCTTCTCTTTTATTATGCTTTATTAACATGATTAATGTAATTAATCATAATTAAGTACACAGTTTTTATAACATAGTTATAACGGCATATGCTCACACTTTGTTAAAGTTTTTTTAAAAAATACAATAGAATAAAAAATATATTACTTTCATTTTAGCGCTTCATGGTATTCTCAAAATCCAATCGATTAGTGTAATCGCAGGAGACGATCTTCACGAGTTTCCATAAAGGATATATCAAAAGTATATATCGGCATGCTGTTAGGCGACAAGTTATTTTATTTCGTGTTGGAATAACGTTCAGGACGGTTCACTATCACTACGATGACAATGAGGTCGACGGCAACTCCCTCGTCGGTTTGCCAGAGCTTATACCTGCACTGCTGCGGTTCAACAGTCTCGGCATGTCGCACTCCTCACACTTGTTCATCAATGGATGATTGTCGAAAGTGCACATAGTGCAGACCCACGAAGGCTCATCCCGTTCCTCCCGATCGTTGTCACTCGCCGGCTGCTCCGGTTGCCATGCCGGTGGTTGACTCGGTAAACGCGGTGGTTTTGGGTTCGGCGGTCTCGTCGGCAACGACTGGCCGGTATAAATGCCCTGATAAAACTCCTCATTCGTCTCGCCCAATGGCACTGAAAAATACGAGTCATTCGCCACAAGTTCTACCAAACTTTGTACGCAATAACGTGATAGGAAATAGATACCTCGTCTGTCTGACCATTGATCGACTTCTACGGCTAATCTGTTGCACTCGACCTGCAGCATATATATTTCGGTCTTCAGCTTTCTTTTCAGCTCCTGCAAAAATCACGCATTGAAAATGAGAAAACATATAAAAAAGGTATCGATTATCGTTCCTCGCGATTGTACGTACTTGAGGCGATATCAAGGGATCCGGTCGGGCTAATGCCTGTACTTCCTTCTTCATCGCTTCGAGTCGTCCCTTCTCAGCCCTGAGCTCCTTGGCGAGTCTCTCCTTCCTAGCCAGTTGCTCCGCGACTAATTTCTTTTGGTGCTCCTCCACTAAAAATTCCAAGGACTATTTCAGTTAACATGTATATATCAACCAAACAGATCAAACTTCAGATCTTACTTCAATCACTTTCTAATTCTACTTTGTCGCAAATGACGACTCATAAATTTTATTACATATCGCCTCGCCTCGTTAGGATTTTATCGATCACGATGACAACGGATTAGATATAAGACAGCTATCGCATCTGCATCGTAGATTAACAGTCGCGCTCTTCGCATTGTGTCTGCATCTTGATAGAAAAAAAAAAGCGAAAGGCCTTCGCGTGTATGGCATTTAACGTAACGGCTCAGGAAACACGTCGGACTCTCACGATCAGAAAAACCGGATCAGGTGGTCCGCGTAGTTGTAACCGCGAGCGCGCGCGGGCTATGTATAGCCCGGAGCGTGGGGTCAGGAATGCGTAAATATCGTTCCCGGCGTTGCGTGCGTGGGCGTAGTACGTGCGACCGAGTGACTTCCAGGTAAATATACACGTGCGCGCGATTCTGCAGCGCTGGCGAAAGCGGCGGCGAGGACGCGCGCCGACGACGGTGTCATCCCGTTCCGATCCATAGGTTCACCTTGGCACAACGGCGATCGATTCCGATCGGAAGCCGTGTGGTCCCCGAGGGAGAAAGAGGCGGTGCTAGGAGGCCCGACGCCGCTGCTCGTCGTGGGTCCGGACGGCGTTGTAGGAAGGCTGCAACCCGGGACGATATTCGTCGTCGGCGGTATGGAGGGAGTAGTCGGCGCGCTCATCGTCGTCGTGGGCCTTGGCAACTGGCTAGGCGGTTCTAGAGGAAGTTCTGAAAACGATACAGCAAATCTGTATTAACCCGTATCTCGTGTCAATTTTAATAAAAAAATTCTCGCGTATATAGAGACTTATATTTTTAATTATAATGATTTTATTCTTAATTTTGTTGAACTGTAATTTTACTAAAATTAGGCCGGGTCTCACCAACTCCGATTGAGCTAATCTGTCGATTAAATTTCAGTATTGTCAACTGCAAGACTGAAAATATAATCTAATTTACTGACAGCTGTGAAGAAAACGATGTGTAATAACATCACAGGTCCTTATTAGTGACAAATTTTTCAATTGCGAAAAAGCCATGCGAGAGTCGAGCACATGAGTATTCGGCGCTCCGCCAGAAAAGGATGTTTTCGAGTCTTACAGTTGGCGATATTTAGGTCCAGTTCCACAACTCATGGTTAACTCTTAACCGAGGTTCAACTTGTTCATTGTCTCTTTCTAATTTTAGAATTGGAAAGATATGAGAAACAAGTTGAACCTCGGTTAAGAGTTAACCGTGAGTTGTGAAACTGGGCCTTAATCGGCCGATTAAAGCTGCGGTTCACTTGACGCTACAAACGCTTCGAAGCGTTTAAGTTAATCGGAGTTGATGAGACCAGGCATCAGGGCTGGGTAATCATTTAAAATGCTAAATATAAAATACTTAAAAAAATGTATTTAAAATGTAAAATGTTTTTCGAATCCACTTTATATGTAAAATGGGTAAATAGATATTTTAAATAGTTTTCAAATACAGAATGGTTTTC